ACTTTCAGATCGAGCCACAAGCTCGCTGAAGCTTCGGGTGCCCCACAGCCCGAAGAAACTTATCATCTCTGCTTCGATTCCATGCGAGGTCGATGCGGGTGACAGCATGCGCGTGACTTCAGAGCAGCTGCAGGATGCAAAATTGCCGGCTGGAGCCCCGAGAGCCCCGCCTAGCCTTGGCGCCCTTGTCTCCGAGCTGGCGGCCGTTGACGTTGACGGTGACGGTGCGATTGGACTCCACGGCATCTGCGAGTGCCTCTCGTGGAAAAGTGGGGGTCGAAATTGAAAGCTGCAAAGACCCCACCCGTGGGGTCCGCCTGGCCTTGAACCCCTCGGCTCCGATAACGTTCCATCCGAGGTTGACGTGGGCGACCGTACAGTTGGACTTCAAGGCGTCTGCCAGTGCCTCTCAGCGGAAACGCTGGGTCGAAATTGCATGCTACGAAGACCCCGTGCGCACCGCCTGGCCTTGGCGCTCTCGTTTCTGATGCTGTTGTTATAGAGGTCGATGTCGGTGATCGTACAGTTGGACTTCAAGGCATCTGCGAGTGCCTCTCAGGGGAAAGCGGGGGTCGAAATTGCAAGCAGCGAAGACTCCGCGGGCGCCGCCTGGCCTTGGCGCCCTCGTCTGCAATCTTGTTGCCCTTGAGGTCGATGTGGGTGACCGTACAGTTGGACTTCAGTGCATCTGCCAGTGCCTCTCACAAGAAACGCGGGGTCGAAATTGCAAGCTGCAAAAACCCCGTGGGCACCGCCTGGCCTTGGCACCCTCGGCTCCGATCTGGTTGTCGCTGAGGTTGATGTGGGTGATCGTACAGTTGGAATTCAGAGCATCTGCGAGTGCCTCTCAGGGGAGCAACGGGGCCGGGAGCAAGCTACCGTGTCTCTGTCACGTGAAAGCTCGTGCCTTCCACAGAGCCGAACACCGTTCTCGATGGGATTCAGCGACTTGGATCTCCAGCTTCGTGATTGTGTCGTTCAGCCCAAGTGCCTGAAAACAGCTTTTTCTAAGACACGCGCCCTCGCGGCACGGCGGCCCCACCTTGCAGAACTCCTCGGCCTCTGCTTCACCCACCTCAATGTTGCGGAGGCGCAAGACCTTCAGCTTCCTGTAATCTTTCAGGGCTTTGGCCAGCCGGCCCAACTCGCCTTCCGGCAAGTTT